GCACCGACAGCCACTCAGAAAGGCTGCTGGAGCAGCGATATTCCACGTCATGCCTGAAGGGCACCGGAAAAGGAGGAAAGGTGATTCGAGGTTCGAGTTTCTAAAGAGACTACTTTTTTGGGGTGCAAGTGCTTGCCGATAACGTCGCGGTCCACTCGCAGTGCCTCATAGGATTTGGCTCATCTGCCGCATCTGTATCTAGGAGCCGGGAGGAACGTCGCAAACAGACCCTTCACATGACTGCATCTAGGCGTAGTCTTTCATCTTCGCTCTGGCGCTATGCTTCACTCAGATGGCTTCGCTCCGTTCGTGGCTCGAAGTAACGAAGTACATTATATTATATTATACTATATTATATTGTATTGCATTATATTACATTATACTATATTATATCATATTATATCATATTACATTAATTATAGTTGCTGTCTCACGCCACGCCAAACACTGCAGAGGAGCTCTTTAGCTGCTGTCCGGTCTCAGCCGTCATGACAAGAATACCATGTGGTATTTCCTATACTTATTATTGTTGTTATTATTATTCGTATTATTCTTAGTATTATTATTATTATTAATCATTATTAGTACTAGTATGAGTCTTCTCATTAACCGGATCAAGCGCCCGAAGCCCCCAGCGAGATGGCTTCTAGGGCTCCGAGCTCCTTGAGAAGGCCGCTTGGGGCTTCGTAGTTCCGACAGCAGAATCCTGCCGGCTTGGAGGGTCTCTCTCAGGTTTAGGGTTTTGGGTTAGGGCTAGGGCCACATTGTGGGCTGATTTAGGGCGACAGATATCGAGCGGATTGTCGTGAGTCATGATTGCTATGATGTGCCACTGACTTTTCCTACAAGCTGACTTTTTCCTACAAGCTGACTGCTGAAGGCCGGTCACCTTAGTTGCCCTTGCGGCGCTCCTCTTCGGTCCAGTGCGGTGGCCAGCTCATGCCCCAGCTCTGAACACAGTACCGCCCATCGACTGAAGCTGACCCGTCTGAGGCCCTGGGCTTCTGCAACGACAAGCTCGTCATATCTAGCCTGGCTGCCTAGCAATTCAGACGAGCGTGGCAGCTTTTGATGCGAAGAAGCATAGGATAGTCAAAGAAGCCGAGACTTGAAACCAATCTGCAGTTCTACCCAAAGCCCCCCTCACATATCGCGATGCGAACAGACATTGTCCAGAGTGTTCCTGTTGACCATTTGCTGCTTTGCTTCTAGTTCTGAGGAGGCTCGTCGGGAAGCTCGCTGAGAGCTCAAGTGCCGTCCTTACAGGGTCAATGTCAAAGTCGGGCTTCGGAGAGATGGGATGGCATGCTTTCCGTGGCTGCGGGACCCGACAACCCAACGACCCTGAAGCCTTCGGACCCTTCCTCTGTCTTCTGAGCCGCCGGACGTGAAGCCCGAGCCCGACTTCGGTGCGGAGTTTGCCAAGTCGCTCCAGGACTCAACCGCTCCCCTTCGCTTGAAACATTTTGGGTTTAGGGCTCCATGGCTTGCCGTGAAGGAAGGCCTGGGCTTGAATGAGGCCTACGACAAGGACGGGCTGTGATGTTGCTTCGGCTGACCACCACAACCGAGCTTGCCGAGTGGTGTTGATGAGCGCATAGCTTCCACTCCGAAGCAGGGCCTCAATGATCTTCATGATCTTCAACACTTCAACGCTTCTCCATGCTTCGAACACCCTCGCTGTGTGTTCGGGGTTTTCTCCCGAGGAGGTGACTGCGGCACAGAGAGTCACGCCAATCGATCGCCTGCGCTCCCCTCAGAAGTCCGACAGGGTCGTCCGCCAGTCCGCAAGCAGACGACCCGAGGTTTGGGTGGGACAAAGCCTGAGCCTTGGAGGTCTAGAGAGAGACCCATCCTTAGAGAATTTCGCTGCAGATCTCTGCCCCTCCGGCCCAGAGAAGAGCCTCGATTAAGTTGACCTCTTGGAACCCGGCCCAGGGTATCATTGCTTCCCGGGATGATTTGGATCCGTTTATGGACTCCCGCGATGAGATGTCAGCGCCCGAGCATTTAAGGCGTTATTGCCCAGCCCCTGAATAGCGGCGGCTTGCATCTACTACCTGCTAGATTCGCCTTGATGTCAACACGTGAAGCGCCGAGGAATTATGTCTCCGTGAGTCTGGACAAGCCATTGGGTTTAGAGTTCCTGGAGAACGGCGTGGCTTGGCAAATTCCGTACTACTGACACCACTGAGTCTCCCCGTAGTACAACTGTTGCCCAAGGCAGATGAGGGTGGAGGTGTCCTGATCGGCAAGGCCTGAACCTGCGAGGCAAGTGGCATGAAGTGGAGAGAAGATGACTTTGGCAGGTGGCGCCAGCATCTAATGCTGACCAAACCGGGGTGCTCAGAGTCAGGCTCTCAGAAGAACTTCCCAAAGCGCCGCTGGCCCAAGCACAGACGGGGGAACGTCGCGAGATCAGCGAGCCACAACGACCCGAATCCCAAGAGCAGATATGCGAGTACTGCAAAGATCGGAATGTTGGGCGGGCGAGCCGTGCCTTTGTGCAGGCGTCTCGTAGTAGGATCTCGCCAGTGCACGTCGGAATCGATTTTGGGTGGGCCACACAGCTGTGATTCGGCGGCGATCGTTTAAGGAATGTTCTTTGCTGCAGTGCCACCAAAATCTTGGTACAGTCTTATCTGCACAGAGGCAGGCTATCACCTCGTGTTTGTGAACGGTACGTGTTGAGCTTAGCCGAATTGCTGGATTCTTGCGGCTGAGTTGAGGAGAGTTGAGGCCGGAGGTTCGACGCATTGCGACAGATTCCACCAGCCCCGTCTCAAGCAGAAAAAGTTCGTCCCGGCAAAGCAGGTGCCTGTTTGATGGTTTTGATGGGCGTATGGACAGGCCGACACCAAGGCACTTCAGCAACGCCTGACTACCGAGTACCAGACATACTCGGCAAGATGGAGTCACCAGGAGAGGGCCAGGAGCGGTCGGTAAATGTGATTTTGCGACGAGTTCCACCACGGCACAATTCCGCTCCGCACCGCCGCCACTGCCTGCACCGCGTGGTAGTTCGTCAGAGGCAAAGGTTTTGCCTTTCTGCTTCGCCCCTTCAAGCATGGGCTGTCTACGTCGGAATTCCCATAGGTCCCCAGCTACTGTAAACCCCCCGAAACCCTAAACCCTAAACCCCAAACCCTAAACCCCAAACCCCAAAACCCAAGCCAACCCTTGCATCGACCCGTGAGGCCCGTTCACGGCTTGTCCTTCGATGCCGCGATCCGACCCATCGTGGAGTCGGAAGGCGGCTCAGACCAAGGGTGTGGCCCCTGAACTCTTATAATATAATATAAATAATATAATGTAACATTAATATAATAATATAAGATAGTATAATATAGTATAGTATAACATAACATAATATAATATAGTATAGAAAATCCTACAGAGACCCAGAACCCAACACTCTGATACCTGGGAGGGATCCTTTACAGTTGGTCAGGAAGGATTGAGGAAGTAGCTTTTCTTTCGAGAAGACTGGGGAGCAACTTAGTCCCTGAGACGTAGCACAAATGGCTGTAGCGGCGCAGGCATGTGAAGCCCAACCCAAGAGTCTTAAGGGTATTAATTAGGCCCAGTGACGGCCTCTGCCTTACAGCCTTGCTGTTTGAAATAGTGCAGCATCGGATCTCTGAATCTGCACACGACTTTGCTGAGGGAAAGCCTTGTGTGGGCAAAGCTTCGGTGCAGCCCGAACGAGACTACAAAATCAACCTGGAGAAATAACCGGCGCCACCTAGAACCGGTAGACTTCGTACCCCACTACCACGGCCCGTCCGAAACGAAAGCCGACATCTTAGCTGTATGTCCAGTAGCAGTGGAAAAGCTGCCGACACAAGCATTGGAAAGGTGATGGTGTTGTTCAATGCTGGGTGAACGACTCCAGGCTAAGAATAAAACCTTTCGTCGGGGGAATGCCCTGCTCAACACTATCACAAAGCAAGGCCTCAACCTCACCAGCGGCAACGCTGGCATAATCACCTAGACATGTCAAGAACTGCTTGCCGCGCCATCTGATTCTGGGCTGACAGCTACATGTTAGAATGACTCGTCTGGTTCCACCTGCATCATGAAACTACGGAGTATCAGGATGATGATCGATGTCAGTGTTGTCCTTGCGAGAAACCAGGTTGGCAACCAAATCAGCCTGAACATCAACGGCTCGTAAGATGTAAGATGGAAGGGCTGTAGTGCTGCTTCGAGAGATCCAGCTCGTTGCACGAATGCTGCAGGGGCTGTGCAGCTCACGTTCTTCATGGGGGAGGCAGAGTACTTCTATGGCGAGTGGAAGCCGCCAAGCTTGCAAAGACGAAATAGCATTCTGCATGCCGTGCCATGCAATGCACTAGAAGCCACAAGAAGTACAAGCATGTCCATAGTCAGGTCGTTAGATCTTCTGTTTTGAGAGTCTACAGTCCTGAAGCCCTCAACACTGAGCCCTAGGCCCTAATCCCCACAGCAAAATGCCATGTTTGAAAGGAGCACGAAACTGCCCCAAGGCCAGGGGAGGAGTGGCTGGGGGAGTTCCAAGCCAAGTTGCAGCGCGCTGAGTCCACTGGGTCGAGTCTGAGTCCAGAGTTTCGGAATTTGGGGCTTGAGAACCCTAAACTCTAAACCGCCCTAAACCCTAAACTTAAAGTTTCGGATTTCGGGTTTAGTTCGGTTCGGATTTCTGGCTTTTGGGGTTCAGGGCTTGGTCGTTGCATCACTGAGGTCTCAACCCGAGGATGAGGAGCAGTAGCTCAGTAGCTGCTCCAGGGTTTCACGCGCAGCCCGGAGTTGGGAGCTCGCTTCCGATTTTCCGCGTCGCTTGGGGCCTCCGAAAAAACCGCGGATGAAGGTTTAGGAATTACAGGAATTCATGGGTTTAGGGTTTGGAGGTGGTGGCAAAAGTGTCTGCCAGTGTTCGATGGGTCAGTTTAAGGGGGCTTCGCTCATCTTCGCAGGGTGCCAGTTGCGTACCAGGCTCGAGGAGAGTACCCGTTCCAGCCATGGAAGCGAAAGAAAGCTTTTGGGAGCTGCATCGCAAGCTGGCTGAGTGCTACCAGCATGACGTGGCGGCGGGTAGCATGGCGCAGCCCCCGCACCATGTGCCAGTGCACCCACCACTCATCGATCGGCGCGGCAGTTTGCAGCGGCGGCTTAGTCTCCAAAGTGTGCAAAAGGAGAACTCGATGGCGTCAGGCGCCTTTTTTCTGGAAAGCCAGGTTTAGAAACTCCTGGGTCTATGCACCGAATGCCCAAAGCTTAGCGGCAAAGCCCTGCAAAGCCCTGCAAAGCCCTCAGCCTCCGAGCTGCAGCCGCAGGTGTGGAGGAAGCTCCAAAGTCGCCAGCAGGAGGAAAGCCAGCACCCCTGGGTCAATATCACTTAGGCATCGTTTTCATGTTTTTGTTTTTGAATCGTGATGTCCTTATAAATTGTGAGGGAGCCAGCCCCTGAACACGCCCAGGAAGGTTTCATAGCAAAATTCCCGCGGAAAGGCTTAGCATCGCAGGTAAACCCGGGGTGTTCGTTGGAAGGATCCTTGCTACCCGGGGGACCCTGTGCCAGGCAAGGATGGTATCCTTCGACAGAAACTCCACCGTCAAAGTGATCGACTTCGACGAGGTGCAAGCCTCCTATCTTTGAAAGTGTCTGCAAGAGTAGGATGATAATATACTTTGTGCGGCTTTACAAGGATCATATACTTTTTGCGGCTTTCGTTTGGGTCCAACTTCCACGTATCCTGTTCTTGAGAGGCCTCGGTGGCGAAGGTAATCCCGACAGCATCCTTGACGCCATCTGCGGAAGACTTCACTGATACTGCAAGGGCCAGGGCATCCTTACGGCAGCGGCGGAGGACCCCAAATGAAATCCCAGACTCCCCAACCCCAAAGTCTTCCAAAGTCACGACAATAAGGTAATTAGGACTCCTCCAACAGGGCTTGGGGTGTAGGGTGTAGGTGGCCCTAACCTTGAAAAACAAAACTTCCATTTAAGTCTAATGTGTGCAAGCCCAGGAGCACCGTCGAAGGGTTGCTCAGTGCCCAGGGGCTCTTGAGCCAAAGCAGCATGGGAGAGTCCGAGGATGAGACCTGGGACATAACCAAGGTGAAGCTTGGGCTCAGGAGTTAACCTTGTTAGAGTCTGTCAGAAGTTTGGGGAACTTGGTTGAAGTGGTCATCATAAGAAGTACTTCAGCAGGTATTGTGCTCTCCTCACTCTGCTCTCCAGCTTAGATCAAGCTCCAAAGCAATCAAACCCAGGAAGCTCTACGCCCACAAGTGCTGGCTGCAAGATGATGACAAGGACAACGAGCTCTCCGATCGACTGCTCTCCCTGTCCAAGGGGATAAACCAGTCGGCAGAGCAGTGCCAAATCCACGAGAGCGAGTTGGAGGTGCCAGGGTACCCTAGCCCTTCGTATAGGGGGTGTTTTGTAGGGTATCTGCTTCGGGGCTCCAATGGTCCTATACCAGGGGCCCTGCCGGTCCCTAAGAGGATCGCCCTGCTCGGAGGTTCCCTATGAGATGGAGGAGCATTCCACAATGCTGCATCCAGCCGGAGTCTTGCGGACGACCTGGAACATTCTAGTTGCCATGTGCCTGATCCATGACTTGGTGGTGATCCCTCTCTACGTCTTCGACATACCCGACTCATCAGTTCTGATTGCGCTGGAGTGGTTCACTCAGCTCTTCTGGAACATTGACATTGCCATGACCGTGCGTACTGGCTACTACTACAAAGGTCTGCTCATCATGGACCCTCGAAAGGTCCTGCGCAACTATGTGAAGACATGGCTGATCCTAGACGTGACGTTGGTCTCTTTAGATTGGGCCTTCGTGATCCTCTCATTGTCAGGTGTACAGGTAGACTCGGTGGCACAACTCTCGCGGACAATCCGGTTCCTGCGCTTTCTCCGCCTGGTCCGGATCTTGCGGTGGGTGAAGCTGGGCTGCTGTTTAAGTTACTTACTTGGTATATACATTGGTATATGCAGCAGCGAAGAGTATCCTGTCATGGGTAGCTTTTTGGGGCTAAGTTCCTTAGAAAAGAACCCCAGGAAATTGCGCCGGATGGCGGAAGTCTTCCAGGAGCTCATTCAGTCGCAAGCTGCGAGCACCTGATTCCGTTTTAACTCCGGTTTAGGTTTAGGGGTTTAGGGTTTCTTGAACTCATTGGCCTCCCCGGAGCGCTAAGCTGCAGCTAAGTCAAGTTTGCGAGAAGGTTTCTGCTGCATGAAAGGCGTGGAGAACTCAAGAGGGGAAAGCCCATATCATCCTGAGATGCTTTTGGGAGTTCAACTGCGAGCAGAGGTTGTTAGTGTTCGTTTGAGGCATGTACTGGAGCCTCCTCTTCGGCATCGCACGACTCATCATCTTGAACCACTTGATCGCGTGCTGCTGGTTCGGCATAAGCCGTCTGGAGGGCGCCAGCGACAACTGGGTGACCCATGCTCGCCTGCAGGAGGATACCACCTCTCCACCACACATGTATGCTGCCTCCATGACTCTGTGCAAGAATACATAGGTTTTTTGAGTGCAATCCCTATGAAGCTTTCTGAGGGTGTTAGTCTGAGCTGATCATGGCAAAGGCGCCGGAAAGCCGGGCCTCCCACCAAAAGTTGCGGAAGGGCCCTACAAACATACCCATAGGCTCCTTAGTAGTTCCTTTTTGGGATTGCCTTATAGGATTCTAAATATAAACCACAAAAAAGGAACTACTTAGGAGCCTATGGGTAAGCACCCTCAAGGGTTGGTTCCGTCAAGGAATTGGGCCTTCGCTCAGCTGGGCGTGGGCGTCTCAGACATCAGTCCCCGCACGACGCTGGAGACATACTTCTGCATCCTCATCGCCCCTGGCTTTGGAATTGTGATTTCATGCATTTCCCGATTGCGAAACCAGAACTCCAAGGGAATTAAGCCTAATTATGAAGTGTCTCTGGAGAAGCATGCTTTCAATCTCTTGCGCAGGCTTTCCGGTCGCTCATCACCTGCACTACGCTGATCAGTCGCATGACATCGTTGATGACTGCGCTGATCAAAGTGAAGGAGGATGAGGAGCGTGAGTTCCGGCTCCTTCGCAGCTACCTGGTCTTCAACGAGATCCCTCATCGCTTGGGGCAGAAGGTTACCAGGTTTTTGCAGCATCAGTTCAGCCTCAAGCAGCAGGCAAAGACTGCTGATTTACACGTTCCATTGCTCGAGCTCCTCTCGCACCAGCTACAGGGGGAGCTCCAGTTTGCCCGGCACAGGGCATCCCTCGCTAAGCTTGAGTTCCTGGACTTTTGGGGAGGGAGGGTGGCGGGGTTAAACTTCGGAACAGTCCCTAGAAATAGAAACCGAATGAGTGTGGCACAGGACCACCTCATGGACCACCTTGACCGGCAGATCTTGCGAATATTGCACGAGCTGTGCACCGTGGCCCTGGACAGTTTGCCCGTGGCCTCCAAGGATATGGTCTTTCTCGGTGGTTCCCAGGCCCGCAAGACATACCTCGTTTTGGCGGGCACCTTTACCTACCACCACGACGATGGTGCAGAGAAGGTCGATGCTGAGTCCTGCGGCTGGGTGGCGGAGATGTGCTTGTGGCCGCTTCGCATGCACATCAAAAGATGTAAAGATGGAAATAAATGTCTCGCAGGTTAGAAAACAAGCCCCAAGTAGTAGGATCCTCCCTTGTACTGAGAACCCCCATAATTCATAGCCTCTTCTCAGGACGCCTTGGGTCTACTTGGGCGACCTGGTGTCGCATGACGTCTCTCGCATCGTAGCCATGGATGCATCTTTGTTTGGTCAAATCTTGAGCCAATCCCCGTCTACACATGACCTTTGGCCAATCTGAGAGTTCATTATTCGGGGATTCTTATCATAGTTTAATATTTGAAGCATCTTGCTTCGTCTGCAGAGCGTACGGTTTAGGATGACAGCCAACAATACACCTTTCATTTTCATGCTGCTTCATTCTTGCTTGGCATTCTTAAATGTTGAGGACCATGCCAAAGACTATGCCAAGAACTTTCTCAGCATGATGCGGGGCAAAACGCGGGGCGCTCTGAAGCATCAATCGCTCCGAAGCACCAGTCACCAATGCAAGCACAAGCATGTCTGCTGCACAGCCCTGCTAGGTCCTGGACGGATCTTCGCTATGAAGCCAGAGACGACAACTCAGTTGGCAACTAGGTGGAATTTTGGGAAACTTTACAATGTCCCTTATGGTTCCTATAGACTGTAGAGGTACCTATTCATAAATACTTTTCAGGGCCCCAAAACCACAACCTAGGCAATGTAAGCCGGCATGCCTCCGTGAAGAAGCCACGTGCTTCCTTCGCTCCCTTTTGCTGCAGAAAGAAATCCCAAAAGCAGATACACATTGAAGAGCTGGGATGAAGCGCAAGCGTCACAAGCGAAATGTGCTTTTCTTGCCCGTCAGCCTATGAAGAAGAGAAGCAGTCGTGTATATGAGATGGGCTTAGCAGACAGTGGTTGGAATGTGCGCGTCCCTTCGACTCGGGCACACCTTCCGCTGCAGGCTTCCGATGTAAGTAGTCGCAGGGTCCATCCGAGTGACTTCTCTTAATTCCGATTCCATTTCCCATCACCGAAGGGGTAAGCCCCTCCCACATTCTCGTGAGTACCGTTTTTAGCTCTGGATCTCCGAAGGAGATGAGCAGCACACGATGTAAAGATGTCAACGATTTATTTGCAAAGACGCCAGTGCTGCAGATGATCACAGCCCCCCTAGAGGAGATCATCCGTATCCGAGATGCAACAGCCAAATCTGCACTCTACTGGCGAGAAACTAGGCAGTGCACGATGTTTGGCATGCACTCACCTGTGGGTTTTCATCGTCAAAAGAAGCTGGTTTGTGGAACACCGCCGCGGTCGATAAAGAGTGACACATTTTCGATTGTGGAACAGATGAGCGGACGCACCGATTTCTTGGCTTTCACCCCGCACCTGTTGCTCCTCATGCTCCTCTTCCATCATCATCATCATCATCATCATCAGCATCGTCACCGTCGGCATCGTAATCGCTATCACCAGCATCTTCAGCATATCGTCGTCGTGATTCTTACTTATCGTAAAGACAGACCATCCTCGTCATTCATAGACACTTTCGTCCCAACTCACATACGACGGTGTTGTCCGCCTCTTGTCCACATCATTTCCTGATGAAGGGACTTTATGGGAAGAGCAACTGTAGTCTCCGCAGCCTTCGCCTGGGCAAGCATGGAGTGGTTCATGCAGCCATTTTCAAGCAGCCTATCAGGCTAGCTGTTGTATACAAGCGTCTGTAGCTCCGATGGAGGACGAGAGCGGCGAAGACAAGGACAGGTCTGCAAGCAGTTTTTGGGAGCTCCACCGCAAGCTGGCTGATTGCTATGTTCAAGACATGGCCCTGAGAGTAGAGAAGCGTCCGACACCGAACGCGTCGCCTGGGTTCTTGACACGCTCTCGCCTCTTCCAGCTAGCCGTCGTCGGCGCATGTCCATTGAAGGCAACAGCCCGTCTATCATGGAACGGCGGGAGGTCAGCATCACAACTTTGCTGGATTCCAAGGGTCGAGCTCAAGCAGGGACCGATATCACACTGGCTCCCCTTGCATGCTGGAAGCATAAGAAGAAGGAGCATTCCGTTTCGAACAATCGCGCTGTGTCTGTAGATGCGCTTATGTCATCAGTTCCTGCCGGAGCCGGCTCGTTCACAAAGAGAGCAGATGGAGCCAGCAGCATTGACTTGCCTGTTCGGGAGACCGGAGAAAGCAAATGCACCAAATCCTGGGTATTACATCCGGGTGGGATTCGTCGGACGATCTGGAACATGGCAGTCGCACTGGGCGTCCTGCATGATCTGATCTTCGTCCCGATGTACGTCTTTAATCTACCTAGCACTCCGTTCTTCAAAATTATGGAGTGGATCACACAGATATTCTGGAATTGTGACATGCTCGTCTCGCTTTTCACGGGCTACTACGACGAGGGTGTTCTCGTCTTGGAGCTCAGAAAGGCATTCTTGCACTACGCAAAAACATGGATGTGCTTCGATTTATGCCTGATTACCATGGATTGGGCCATAGTTTGGCTTGATACTCTGGGCTCAGAGCAGGAAGATTTCATACAGTGGTCCCGCACAATAAGTATGCTCCGCTTCCTGCGCCTAATTCGCATGCTGCGATGGGTAAAGCTACGCAGGGTGAACGATGCTTGCCAGCTCCGAGTTCCCAGAGAGGTGGGTTGAAAAAGGACTTTCAGGACCCTAAACCCTAAACCCTGAACCCTGAACCCTAAACCCCGAATCCGAAGACGAAAGTGTGAAGGCCTGCAGAGGGTCTGGAGCTTCGAGTTGGGTTGAAGGTTTGGGGGTTTAAGGCGGTAGGGTGTAGGGGAGTGAGCCTTCCGTGGTTGAATGTCCTGCATTTCGATCCGGACTAACAGCGGGGTTTCGACTGGAGCATGTCATATTGTGGTCGGGCTTAGGCTTCAGCAAAGGTTAGGCATCGTATCTCGTAAGCTTTCCTTCCCACTATCCAGGCCAGTCTAGGCCTAGAATCTATTGTGGAGATCCCATCCCAAGATCCTGAGGAGGCGCGAAGATCTGTACCTTCAGCTTTACCCCGTCCTCGAAACCCCAAAGATGGAGATATCTCCTCGCAACTTGTGCTTGCCATGCGCTCAGGAAGTGTTTCAGGAGCTTCTTCATACACAAGCTGCGAGCTTGTACTATAGCCTCATTGGTAGCATTGCGCGCTTGCTCATTTTAAACCATCTGGTGGCTTGCTGTTGGTATGCAGTTGGCGATCTCGGTGGTGCAACAGGTGTGGGTGTTCTCCAAGAACTTATAATGTATATATACATATATATATATACACATGTGATATATATATATATATGTATATATATATGCACATATGTATAGAGACCCGGCTTAGGGTTTGCAGATTGCATCGCTACTTCTTGTTTCGTGAAGCTCCCAGGCTGGGTTGCAACCAACAGTGGAATGGCGAGCGAAGGCGTCTTCCACAAGTACCTGGTGTGCATGAACTGGGCATTTGCGCAACTAAGCGTGGGCTCCAGCGAGCTCACACCTTCGAACACCTTGGAGTTCGCTTTCTGTGTGATCGTGGCTTTCAGATCTTTACTCACATATTCCACACTCATCAGCACGATGACCTCGTTGCTGAGTGGTCTGAGCAAGATCAAGGAAGACGAGACAAGTGAGTTTCGGATGCTAAGAAGCTACCTTGTCCATCATGACATCGGAAAGGAGTTGCAACAGAAGGTGACACGCTTCCTTCAACATCAGTATGGCTTGAGGCAGCAAGCAAAATCTGCCGATGCCCAAGTTCCCTTACTACAGATGCTCTCAGTTCGTCTCCAGGGAGAGCTCAGCTTCGCGAAATACCGGAAAGCTCTCGGTAGACTGGCCTTTGTGGATGAGCTCTTGGTTATGAACGACTTGGTACTAATGCAGGTACTTCACAAGCTGGCTACGAAGGCAGTTCGGGACGTTGCTGCGGCAGGCAAGGATGTGATCTTCCTTGCCGGCGACACAGCCACGGCAGCCGTCTTCAAAGTCAGTGGCGAAGTGACCTATTTCTTCGGACACGAAAAAAGCGCCGTGAGCAACTCGACATGGATAGCAGAGCATTGTTTGTGGACACCTTGGGTACATTTGGGAGACTTGGTCTCTGAAGACTTCAGCCGCCTGGTGGTGATTCACGTGCAAGAGTTCTGTAACATTCTCAGCGAGAATACGAGAGCCCACAGTGCAGCTGTGATCCATGCGAGAGATTTCATCTCCGCGATGCGCAGCCGTCCGCAGTGGACGGATATCCTTCCGCAGAAGGACATATGTTGACTTGCGCTAGAACTAGTCTCAAATGAGTCCGACTCGAGCCAAATCTGCAGGAGACACACCATCAATACAGTGAGCGGGAGACTGCACTTCATCAGCTCAGATGTTGCCACGGCCTCAAATCGCGATGCTCAGATCGCCTGCACATGCGCTTACAAACGATGCGCTTGGCGCTTCTACTGAAACAGGAACGAGATCTGTGTTCATAAGATGAGCCTAGAGGTCTGGAGGAGATGTGATTGCAAAACCAAGAAAAATGTTTCTGATTGTGTCTTTGCCAAGGCGCCATGAAATGACTCCTTCAGACAATCATAATGAAAGCCACTCGATCACAGTGACAGTATCAGGTTGTAAGACCCCTTCGAGCCTCGCTCCTCGGCGAGCACCAGCAAATTTGCAAGAGCTTGCTAGTCCTATGGGCCCTAAAGTATTACCCCGCATGACCAAGGAGGGGGCCGAATCGGTTTGATGTTGTGGTGCCACAATGCATCGTCCTTCCAGTGGTGAGATCGCACACCCCAAACCCAAACCCTGAACCCAAGTCCGAAACCCGAAGCCCTCATCTCCGAACTCCTAACCCGAAGACTTCAACCCTAAACCAAAAAAGACATGAATCCTGAACCCCTAAAATAGCCCTGAGCCCTAAACCCTTCAGCTCAACCTCCCAGGTGGCCTTCTCAAGAGCTCCTTGCCGGGCGCGCGCGTGGCTCCTCAACCCGCGCGGTTCCATGACTTGGTGCACGCGGAGGCCCTGATCCACACTCGAACACTCCCCACCCCGGAATCCCAGTGTAGTCCTCGATCAACAGAATAGAAAATGGAAACTGTACTACCTACAAGGAGTTCCAGAGCCAGTTCATACACCCATGCATGCATACAGGAACTAACTGTAACGAACTAAGATGAATGCGAAAGACGTCATTCACCTAGACTATAGACCCTCATACGACATGCACTCCTCGCCTCCTTGCTTGCTGGATGTTGCGGAAGGTTAGTCAGTTGAGGGTTGACAGAGATTTAGAGGTTTAGGGTTTTAGGGGTTTAGGGGTTTAGGGTTTGTGGTTTAGGCTCTAGATCACTCAGAGGCCCTGTGCCAATGAATCTCAAAGCAAGCATCATGGAGCCGTTGGGTTTGCTAAGCGCCCGAATCGGTCGATACGTGAAGGACCCCGCGCAAAGATGATTTCACCGTCGAGAGGGCATTCCACAGCATTTCGGAGCTTGGCCGTGATTCCTTGAAGACAGGAGCTGTGATCCCACTGTACAGTACAGATCCGTCTCGCTCTTGGTAAGTACCATCTCCCTCAAGTTCACGTTTTTCAGGGTTCTCCCTCGCGAATTTTCGGTAATTTTTGCTGCATCAACACCCGCAAAGATACATCATATGCTTGCCGTAGGCTGCGGCAAAGCCGCAAGCACGCGGTGAGTGGCTCTTGACTTGGCCTTGGGGCAAGCACAGGCTGCCTCAAGCCGAGTTTAAATCCGTTTTGTTTGCGTTTTGCGAAGAAAAGTCAGACTCGCGCTATGAGCCTTGCCTTTGGCATGTACGAAGCGCCAATTTGGACGACAGGAGTCTGCGAGATGCTGATGCTCGAAGCATGGTGGAGTAAGCTACACAGACCTGAAATCCTACCAGAAACCCCCCCCCCCACCTCTGGACTCTATCACATCCCTCCTGTTGTTTATAGGGTTGAGTATTTAGGGCTTACAAAAGTCTGAACAACAGAAGCTTCAACGTCCAGCCTCGGCCAACCATGGCGCCAGGGCCTCGGATTTTCTCAGACGAAGCTCAGGCCAGAACCCCTAAACCCTGAACCCCTAAACGGTTGTTGGGGTTTTTTGGCTTTTTTGGGCTAAACCCCTAAACCCTGAACCCTAAAGCCCTATGCTCTGAGGTTCCACGGGACACCTGTGGAGGTGCGGAAGAATCAGAAATCCACCACATGGCACCGGGCCCAGCAAGGGCGCAGATGGTCTGCTTTTGGGGTATGACTCTCGCAGCCTGTCAGTGTAAGACCTGGCTGTTCCAACCATAACTTGAGCTGTTGCAATCTTTTTTCTGCTGTTCATGCCAGCTAAGTGTGAATCAGACCTGCAGGAAGCGTCAAGAAGGTAGAATCAGGACTATATATATATATATTGATTGATATTGATATATATTGTGTGTGTGTGCGTATATATATATATATATGTATGTATGTATGTATGTAGGTATGTATGTATGTATGTATGTTCTATCGATCGATCTATCTATATATCAACATGGGCAGGTACAGTGGTGAACTCATCGACATAAACGGAGAGGATCGCATCAAGGTTCGTTTCGAGGCCCGCAGCACAGCTGGAAGCCAGAACGAAGCTGCTTCAGATATCCGTGCAAAGCCCTGAACCCCAAAACCCCGCGCCCTCGAAACCGGGGGGCTTTTCCTCAAAATCCCACGCCTTCCTCCATCCTTCAACCGCTCAAGTCCTCCGCACCATCTCTGATCCCCGAGGAGCCCAGAGGCTCTTAGCCTGAGCTTTCGGAATCAGTTCTAAGAGATTCTAGCGAGGAGACTCGTATGGGTTTGTAAAAGTTTATAATTGAACAAGAATACACCAAAGCCTTCTAAATCCTAAACCAAGCCTGAACCCCAAACCCCTAAAAAACTTCCCTCAAACCGGGTGGCCAGGAGGACATTTGGCCGATCCGGGAGGTTCCCGCCTCGTCCGTCCGTCGGCTGCCCGACGCGCCCTGGCTGGGTCTTCGCTTCTTTGGAGCTGGGGTTCCTTGCAGGGGCGGGGGGTGAGGTTTTAGGGAGGATTTCTTAAGGGGTTTCTTAGGGGTTTGGGTTTAGGAAGGGGCTTAGGAAGGCGTTTCTTAAGGGGTTTAGGGAAGTTTCTTAAGGGGCTTCTTAGGGGTTTTGGGAGGGTTTCTCAAGAGGTTTAGGAAGGGTTTCGTAGGGGTTTCGAGGATGAGGGCAGTCTGGGGGGTGGCATGAGGGAATTAAAGGGCTTTGGGGTTTAATGGAATGTAGGGATCTGGCGAGAGCCCTCTTTTTTTTGGGGGTGGAGGGGGGAGGGGGGGGGGGGTGCGCCCTTTGACTGGTGAGGACACCGGGAGCGAGGACTTCAACCCTCAAGTGGACGAGGCACGGATGCCGTGGGGATGCTTGCTCCCACAGACACATCGCATCCCCTTAACACCTTAACCCTAACCCCTATAGTGACCTATATCCCCCAGACCCATGATCCCAGACCCATGATGCAGCCAAAGAAATATCTGTGCCGATTAAAGGCCGTGGAAGTCCTTCTGTCAGCGACAGACTCGAACCCCAGCGGCTGGGCTTTAGGCTGCAGGGCGGCAAGCAGGAAGAGTTTTGGAGTCTGTTTTTCGCTGCTTCGATTCGGTAGTCGAGGAGTGTCCCTGAACTCGCAGGCACTGGAGGCTGCCTGAAACCCTGCACCAACTAGATCCAAAGAGACGTGCAAGGCGAATAGACTAAGACATGCGCGGGTCATGGCCAGTACTTGAGTGACTGAGGCAAGGTGAAGACCATCAAGAATTCCTTTTACTTCATCACCTTCGATCCAACGCAGAAGGGCAAGCAGGATCTCATCACGCGCACAGCTGAAAAGCGGGCTATTTGTATTCTTAGTCCCCAAGTTCTAGCTGCTGCAGCCCTAAACCCTAAGCTGCACTGTGTTTTCTTGCTAGGACTTAATCGTCGAGCGCAAAGCCCTACGGCGAACCAGCCCAGAGCAGCAGCTGGATGTCTCCTCGATGATCCGCAAGTGCGCCAGGGATGAGGAAGTAGGAAGCATTGGGGATCGCTTTTTCGGTTGGCTGAATTCCCTCCTGTATAGTTGCCCAGGGGGAACAGGGCTCATTGGCGCTAGTGAGCTAGTGAGCTAGTGTACGTAGTCGGGGTCACAGCTCAGATTAGGGGCGCGGATCGAACAACTCATGAGCGAATGCATGGGGGCCCCAAAGCCGTCCACTCAAACATGGATGGGGGGGCCCAACGGCCCGAAGCGCGGCAGAACAAAAATACAGCCAGAGGCAGAGAACTTTTGCAAGCTTACTTCTTGCGCATTCGTGCGCGGAGGGGTCTGGGTGCGTGCTGTGCTCTACATCTCTTGAAGCTCATCTCCTTGATCCATGGCATGCTATTGAGTTTTTGACTGGGTCTGTCCCGACTTTCAGCCTTCTCTTTTATGGGATCCTAAACTCTAAACCCCTAAACCCCTAAACCCTAAACCCTGTCCCACTCTGCAGCCAAGCCGCTGTGTGCTTTGCACTAGGCTGCTGCCCGTGGATCCCGACCTCCACGGCTGGATTCGGTCTCAGGCCGCTCCAGTGTATGTCTAGGTGTAGCAGGTGCTGATCTCCCTGGAATCATCTGAGTTCGTGGGGAGGATTCTTCCGGCTGCCTCAACCACGTGCAGAACAAGTGCAACTTGCTAGTGGCAAACTGCGCGGAACCCAGAGCTACTTTCCCGGAGTCGAACGTACTCTCCAAGTGCACCTTATGGAGGTCACGGAAGCTTGATTATTATTAGTTTCTAATTGCCTACAAAGGCTGTTTGTTGCTCAAGACTTTTCGACAGACATCGAGCTCACACGTTTCCGGAATATTCCCTTTCTAGGCCAATCTTATCAGGTCTAGCTATGTTCTTTCTTCCCAAGAACCTCCCGCCCCCTGGTTGTCTCTGTCGGAAGGTTGCAGCGGATGGGTTTTGTGCTTCTTACGCCACCCATTTCTCTTTGCCTTCAAGGTTTACCTCTTGGTTTGTTTTTCGGTTTGGCGTGTGCCTCTTGGATGTCAGCAAACCGGCGGAGTGGGTGGTTCTTGATAGAGGCACTGCTTGACCAGAACGACACAGCAAAACAATAGGTGCAGACAGATGTTGGGTGGCATTGGAGCTCAGATGTGGTTAAGAGCAGCTTGTGGCAGTTCTGCGCATCCATGTATCAAGTTACATGGGCCATGTAGTCGCCGCCTAGGCACCAACGTGGAGCTCGGGAGCCACAAAGATCCAGAGGCCAGGAAGGGCGCAGACCCCTCCACCACAGTGTGAAAGACCTAATCGTGAGTTCCAAATTTAGATGTTAAACGGTACGTGCAGCAAAAGGCGGTGGCCCGCAGGCCACAGAATTTTCGAGCATGGTTCAGCCAGCAGACACTAGGTCAAATGTTTTGCTGCTCCGGTATCTAAGCGATGATGTCAAATGTAGTTGCTCGGATTTGTTTCTCGCGCCCAGGTGCTTCTCATCGGAGGAGAGAGGGAAATCCGCCTGGGGGTGCTGTTGCTGGAGTCGACCCCGCATGACTTCCTTGTGCTTCGGGGAGTTGTGTACAATGCTATACCCTAAACCCCAAACCCTAAACCCTATACCCTACCACCCTACCGTTTCCCCGAAATGCCAGGCAGATCCACTTCAAGTACCAGATTCAGATGCAGAGGCCCCGCCCAGCCGATCCTTTAACCCAGGAGATCCAGAACCCCTAAGTAGTTCCTTTTTATGGTTTATATTCAGACTCCTATAAGGTGATCCCAAAAAGGAGCTACTTAGGGGCCTATGGGTAAGGTAGGCCCAGAACCTCTGAAGTCGAAAGGCGCTACCCCGTTACAGTAACGCGTCCCAAGCCCTGCCGGACCTATGGCTCCTAAACTTAAGCCCCTGAGCCCTAAACTTTAAACCCTAAGAACTTAGGCCCCCTAAGCCCTAAAACTCTAAGAACTTAAGCCCCCGAAGCCCTAAACCCTAGGAACTTAAGCCCCCTATAAGCCCCTAAACCCTAAGTGTAGGGCTACACTTTGCCCAGGTTTCACGAGCACCGGGAGCAGCTTATGGAGCGACTGGCAATGCTTGGAGCCCCAGGGATGTGTTTTTTATTTTTTTTGTTTTTATTTTTTTTCTATTTGTTTAAAGGGGGTTAGGGTTTTTTGGTTTTGGGCTTAAGGGTTTGGGGTTTTGGGGTTTGGATTTGGGGGGGTTTAGGGTTTAGGGTTCCCCTTTTT